GTGCTCCTTGTAGGGAGCTCGGGTTCTCAGTAGGGAGCTCGGACCCTTAACAGGGAGCTCGCTCTTAACAGGGAGCTCGGGCTCCTAGTAGGGAGCTCGGACTTAGGGAGCTCGGGTTCTTAGGGAGCTCGGATCCTTAACAGGGAGCTCAGGCTCCTAGTAGGGAGCTCGGACTTAGGGAGCTCGGGTTCTTAGGGAGCTCGCTCTTAACAGGGAGCTCGGGCTCCTAGTGGGGAGCTCGGACTTAGGGAGCTCGCTCTTTACAGGGAGCTCGGGCTCCTAGTAGGGAGCTCGGGCTAAGTACAGCGGTCTGGAGCTTTGGGCTCGGTAGTGGGCTTGGACTTGCTTCCGATGTTCGCTTTGGGCGCTCTACTGCCCCGAGCTGCTTGCCTTCGCCACGTGTCGGGCGATCACGAAGTCGGGCCAAATTTCCCTTCAGAAGAGATCTTCTTCTTTCCCCGAGCAATGGTATCCGGCACCGCTCACAGAGGAGTATAAGGACAAGAACAATGGATATTTAATTCACTCTGATGATTTTATTCATAGACGGGGTTGTTTATATAACTCAAACCGTTATAGCTAGTAGTGGATGATAACCGAATTGATCCTCTGCCACTGGGAATATTCTTCCATGCAATGCATGTGACCCTCATGCAGGGTAGTGCTCGGGTGGCGGGTGCCCTTGCTGGGTTGTATTCGGAGTCGGGTCAGCAGGTCCGGGATCCGTATCAACTCCCCACCCCTAGAACTCATCTTGTCCTCAAGATGGGTGTCGGGTATCGTTTCCGTGTGCCCTTGCTGGGTTGTATTCGGAGTCGGGTCAGCAGGGTTCGGGATCCATATCAACTCCCCACCCCTAGAACTCATCTTGTCCTCAAGATGGGTGTCGGGGTATCGTTTCAGAAAATCAGTCCAGAGCTCCCATGTGGCATCTGTTGGAGGAGTATTGGATTAGGAGTTCTGTTGCAGCTTGATTTCCCTTCTTGATGATGCGCTGATCTAGTACCGCTATTGGGCTGGGTAGGAGAGTGCCTTCAGTTGTCAAAGGCGGCAAGGTGGCCATGGGGTGTATATGGGCCCCCAGTTTCTTCTTCAACCAAGAAACATGAAAGACTGGGTGTAATTTATATCCTGCTGGTAGGTCTAGACGATAAGCTACTGGGCCTATCTTGTCCAGAACTTGGAATGGTCCAAAGAACCGAGCTGATAGCTTCTGGGATTTCCTTGTAGCTATGCTGCTTTGGCGGTATGGTTGCAAGCATAGATAGACCCAGTCTCCGACTTCAAATACCCTCTCCGTTCGATGCTGGTCTGCAAAACGCTTCATCCTTTCTTGGGCTTGCCTCAAGTTGTCTTTGAGCTTAGTTAGGATGACCTCCCTCTCCCTTAATTCTTCATCCACTGATTGTACCTTAGTGGTGTCAGGCACATATGATAATAGTGTTGGAGGGGGATACCTATAAACAATTTTGAATGGAGAACTTTTAGCTGAGGAATAGTGTGTGGTATTGTACCACCATTCAGCTAAAGAGAGCCATTTGGTATAGCGATAGGGAAGAAAGCTGGTAAAACACCGGAGGTATGTCTCAAGGGTCTGGTTCAGGACCTTGGTCTGCCCATCGGTTTGGGGGTGGTAAGCTGAACTCATACAGAGCTTGGTCCCCTGAAGCTTGAAGAACTCCTTCCAGAACTGGCTAGTGAAGGTTGGGTCTCGATCACTTACGATCGATATTGGCATCCCATGCAGCTTGAATACCCCGTTTATGAATGCTTGAGCGACATCCTAGGCTGTATATGGGTGGGACAAAGGGAGAAAGTGCCCACACTTACTCAGCCTGTCCACTATCACCATGATCACTGATTTGTGATTTGAAGTTGGAAGGCCTTCAATGAAATCCATGGATATTTCAGCCCACACCTTTTCAGGGATAGGAAGAGGTTGGAGTAGTCCCGGGGTTGGGAGGTTCTCGGCCTTGTGTCATTGACAAAGATCACATTCTCGGACCCACACCCACACCTCCTTCCCGTAGCCCTTCCAAAAACAGATCCGCCTGAGGCGTTGCAATGTGTTCTGGTACCCCGAGTGCCCACCTGTAGGGGAACAATGGGCTTCTTCAAAGAGTTTGGTTTTGAACTGGGAATTTGAGCTTAGCATCACCCGCCCATTCTTCCAAATGAGCCCATGCTTTACTTCATACCTTGGGCCTGGCTTGTCTCCTCTAAGTATGGCCTCCTTGAGCACTTGTAGGTCTGGATCAGCGGTCACCTCTTCTCTAAGTGCTTCAATCCAGCTAGGAATTGGTTTTGAGAGGGCATGCAAAGTTTCGGTGTGGCACCTTGAGAGAGCATCCACAATAAGGTTCTCTCTCCCCTTCTTGTACAGTACTTGAAAATCAAAGCCCATTAATTTATTTATGAGTTTTTGCTGGGATGGAGTATGGGTTTTTTGTTCTATTAGATATACTAAGCTGCGGTGGTTAGTCCGGATAGTGAATTTCTTTCCCAACAGATATGGCCTCCATTTTTGAGTGGCCATCACCACAACTAGGAGTTCCTTGTCATAGGTCGAGAGTGAGAGGGCCCAATCCTATAGAGCTTTGCTGAAATAGGACAAGGGTCGACCATTCTGGGAGAGTACCGCTCCAACCCCGTTTCCTTATGCATCACACTCAATGGTGAAAGGAACTGAGAAGTCTAGAAGAGACAGTAGGGGGGCTATGGTCATTGTTGTCTTCAATTTCTAGAAAGCCAAATCAGCCTCTACCGCCCAAGCCCGGCCTCCCTTCTTGAGCAATTGGGTAAGTGGCCTTGCTAGGAGCCCATACCCCTTAATAAACTTGCGATAGTAACTTGTAAGGCCCCAAAACCCCCTTAATTCTTTTTGTGTCTTGGGCTTGGGCCAGTTCTGAATGCTTTGTATCTTATCTGGGTCCATGCCTACCTCGTCAGCTGAAATGATGTGTCCCAGGTACTCAACCCGATCTGTGGCAAACCTGCACTTCTTCATTCTGGCATACAATTTATTTTTTCTCAAAACCCCCAAGGTTAGTCTTAAGTGAGTTATGTGTTCAGTGGTGGATCTGTTGTAAACTAATATATCATCAAAAAATACCAGAACAAATTTTTGAATGTACTCATGAAAAATCTCATTCATTAACACTTGGAAGGTTGAGAGGGCGTTACTAAGAACAAACGGCATCACTAGAAACTCATAATGCCCTTCGTGAGTTCTGAAAGCGGTCTTATGCTCATCACCGTATTTGATTCGAATCTGGTGGTAACTAAACCTCAAGTCCAGCTTAGTGAAAATACATGCTCCTTGCAGCTCATCAATCAGTTCATCAACTACCAAAATGGGGAACCTGTCGGGAATGGTCACTCTATTCAAAGCCCGGTAATCCACACACAATCTCCAAGGCCCATCCTTCTTCCTAACCAGAAGCACTAGGGTAGAATATGGGCTAGTGTTGGGGCGGATTATACC